GTCCTGAACTTGAATTATGTTGAATATTCTCGTTTCCTTTATGCTGATTATGTGTTTAACTTTGGAAAGTTCTCAAGTAGCGCCAAATGTTTTATAAATCGATAAATGGTTTCGAAATTTTAAAACAAGATTTTTAGATAAGTCCGGAATTGTCTTTAAAAAAAATCTTTGGGGCGTTACACAGGGCCTTCGACTAAACACGATAGGTGTGACTAACAGACGCACTCAGGGCCTTCTCTTAGACACGATTTGTATGATAAACACGCACTAACGGCCTTACTTAAACACACGATAGAACACAATGTTCCCCTTTTCTATTCACTCATCAATTCTGGACTTCTAATAATGAAGAGGTGCATGGGTATTTATAGGTGCATAAAGTAAATCTAAGCCTAACCAAACTAGATCTCCTAAATTATTAATTAAAAGCAACAAAGAAATAAAATCCTACTACTACTAAATTTATTCTTGCTTGACTTGAACTCCAATCCAAATTCTTGAGCTCCAAGTCATGCGCCTCTATGTTATTCGGCCGCTTCATCGCACCGCCTCTCGCGCGCGCTGCCTTCGGCTTTCCTAGTCCTCGGCGCGCGAGGCATCGCGCGCCTCTTCCGTGTTGCACGCGCGCCCCTAGCACGCGCTCAATTCGCGCTGCCGTTACCCTGTGCGTGCACCTCCCGCTCTCCTAAGCCCGCGCGGATTAGGCGTTTCGCGCCTGCACTGCACTCGCACGCTATCGCGCTCTCCCCGCTGCTGCCGTAGCCGTTGCCCGGTACTCCTATGCCCATTCGGTCTAGGCCATCTCCCGCGTCGCCCGATGCGTCGCTGCCTGCTCCTACTGCGCGCTTGTGCCCTGATCGTCGCGCGTCCCAGCAAGCGCCCGCATACTAGCCATTCGCCCATGTGCACCCGCGTATGGCCGGCACAGCCCACGTGCGCATTATGCTCGCCCATTCGTGCGCATCAAGGGCCGATGCGCACCCTTTGCATTTTAGCCCTTCATTCTCACTAGACTTGCCGGCACTGGTCCCCACTTCCGTATCAGGTCTCCTCGCCGTTACGCCGGTGGGACTGAACTCCGGGCTGGTGGGTAGACTCGTCATGACTGGATGAAGCCATTTTAGAATGAGTTTTTGGAGTGAAAAAGTGAGAAAAAAGATGAGTTCAATGCGGAATTCCGCAAGATCGAAACATTGACACCAAATAACTTATGGTGCCCTCCTTCTAGCGCCAAACTGTTGATGGACGGATCCGATCAACGGTTAAGATAAGATATAATAAAAGTTAAGAACCAAAAGATAAGAGAGAAATACGGTTTAGTTAGGTTTTTATTAAGTAATTACGAGGTCGGCCTCTAAGAACGAGGTCGACACTTTTGTCACAGTTGAAATTCTTACAGAGATTTATTACAAGTTCTAGAGAGTGAAAGTAGAGAGAAGGTAGAGTTAGTTGAGGTTCAACAACCCAAAATAGATGAAGTGGGTCTTTATTGTACTCATAAATGTGCTACAGCTCGGGTACTGTTCACTAGTCTCGTCGCACAGTGTTTCTGCCTATCAGGTCAGCGCCGCTCTGCCAGTTAATAAATTTGATTCGAGGTTTCTTCAATCATGACCTGCCAAATATTTAATGCGCACATGGGTGGCATTAAATGTTGCCAGTGCTTTTTCTGGGCTAGATACCATAGGGTAGTAGGTTAGGGCAGCTTGTCCCATCGGCTCATCATTAGCCATCAAAAGGCGATATTATATTAATATCGAGCCCCGCGCCTGTCTCCGGGCCGATCTTTTCAGACCCTCAGACCGGCATCTGAACATTCAAGCCTCCCCGATGTCTCTGGAATCTGTTATTCTACTCAGCACTGGGGGAGGTCGACACTCCCACGTGGTTCGCCAGGTGCCGACCTCTGTGAATACGCTAGACGTCACCACGACTGACTTTATCTTGTAACCAGTTCGGCACCCGGTATCGGGTCTGTGTCCGGTTCCAACCACGTGGCCGTTCTTCCCCGATTTTTGTGGCCGAACCAGAAACTCTCAGTCGAGTCGATCTGGATATCAACACATCCAACGACTGGTCATGGGTTATATGGACAAAAAAAAAAGACCACCAATTCAACGACTTTGGTTCGCAATCCGTTATTTTTGTGAGAATGAGATACTTGTTCCATTTTTTATTAAATAAACGTACTTTTTTGTTTTTACAAAAATAAAAATACTAAAATTTATATATTTTTTCATTATCTACAAATAGAGACCACAATTATTATGTTTAAAAACTCAATTGCAATTCTTAAATAAATTAAAATAAAATAAATATTTAGGTTGTATTAGGTTTTTTTTATATATAAACATCCCGAATTGGGATGGGAGTTGAGGCTAGACCCCCGACCTGTGAATATAATGGCCCAGCTAGGGCTAAAAAGTTAATGGTCTACATCCAAGTCTGAAATACATAAAGCAAAATCAAAAACAGAGAAAAAAATAAAAATAAAAAATACAAGGATCGCAAAAATGTCAAAAAACTAGTCAAGGGCAAGAGGTGGCGGTCGACCGAATCTGAAGGATGGGTACTCTAACTGGTCCATCCGAATGAGCGTCCGAAGCCGGAGGAGAATGTCCTCAGGAAGAAGGCTGCGTCTCTGGGGTATAGATGCCCCCGTGCTAGAAAGGAAATCCGCAGGCCGGTTCCCCTCCCGGAATATGTGTGAGACCTGGTAATGGATCGAGCGGAGGGTGTCTCTGATACGCATAAGAGGATGCTGGATCTGCCATGAGCCCTGATGGCCAGATGTCAAAAGTGTGATGACAGCCGCGACATCCATCTCAATCCAGACATGAGAGGAGATCGAGGCGGCAATCTCGAGACCAATCTGGAGCGTCTGAATCTTTGCATCGTAACTCGAGGAGGCCCGGAGTGGCCCATGGAAGGCAGAGATGAGAGCCCCACCATGATCCCTAATAAGGCCCCCTCCTCCAGCAGCTCCGGTATGTCTGTCGAAAGTGCCATCAGTGTTTAGCTTAACCCAAGGGGCCTTGGGTTTCAGCCAATCAACGATCTTGGGTCGTGGATGCTGGACAAGTAAAGGAGGTGGTGGCCTCAGACGATGGGGCGGTGTACACCCTGTCCAGTCTCTCGTCGTGAGTCTACCCAGGGCGGTAAGGAGATAGA